GAGGACTCTGTTTTTTTCCAAAGTGCTGCATCTCTTTCTCTCATTAAGGGGTCTCCCACACACAGGGAGGCAGGAGGGATAAAGTCTTATCTCCATTTTACAGAAGGGGAACTGAGGCCTGATCAGATCAGGTTTTTCCACAGCTGCACAGAGCCAAGGACAGGGCTGGAATGAGAATTTATGTCTGCAATCCCTGAGCATCACTCCATGCAGCACAATCCCCCCACCACCACCACCAGAGCCTGAGCCTGAGGCCTCAATCACACCTCTCAGACAGCAAGGGTTAAAGAACAATAAAGGAGGAAAGAGTTCTGGCCTGGAAGCGAGGACAAAGGTTCCGATTCTGGCTCCACCACAAACTGTGTCTGAGATAAACCAGATAAACCAGAGATGAGTTAGTAAGCAAGCTCCCTCCCTTCTGATGCTGGTAGCAAGAGGTCTCTTACTCAGAGCCAAGGACATAGCCCCAGGTGCCTCCTGACTATACAGAGATGAGGGAAAGGAATGGGCTTCAACTGAGTGCCCACTACATGTCTAGCTTCACCAGCCACTTAAATCCATCCTTTCTAATCCTCATAGCCTCTAATATTACAGGTGAGGAAACAGGCCAGACAGAAGAAAAGATTTGATTGAGAGCACAGAGTGGGGAAATGGTGGGATCTGACCCAGGAGTCTGATGCCAAAACCCATCCAGTCTCCACTGAGGTGTGAGGAGCATCTCTCTAGCTTCACCAGCCACTTAAATCCATCCTTTCTAATTCTCATAGCCTCTAATATTACAGGTGAGGAAACAGGCCAGACAGAAGAAAAGATTTGATTGAGAGCACAGAGTGGGGAAATGGTGGGCTCTGACCCAGGAGTCTGATGCCAAAACCCATCCAGTCTCCACTGAGGTGTGAGGAGCATCTCCTCTCAGGAGTGTCCAACTTCTCATGCTGACTTTAACTGGGAGGAGATCTAATGACTTGGTGTCAGCTGTCATCCTTGGTGCTACAGCCTAGGTATCAGTCTCAGGACAGGCTCAGTGAGTCTGGGAGGGTAACATGCTTGCTAAACAGACCTGGGTTTGAATCTTTTCCTACTACTTAGTAATGATGTGATCTTGGGAAAGTCATGGAGCCCCTCTGTGACTCAATTTCCTCATCAGTTCAATCAGGGATTGGTTGCAGGGTATTGATTCTTAGCCCAGGAGGCATTTTAGAATCACTCTGGAGCTTGTAAAAATACACTTGCCTGGCCCCACCTGAAGAGTCTTATTTAATTGGTCTGGGATGGGGCTCAGCATCGGTTTTATTTTAAAGCTCCCAAGAGATTCTAATGTGCAGCCAGGCTGAGAAACACTGGTTTCTGTGCTCTCCAAAGACTAGCCATTCCATATCTAACATTTCACATGCAACCATTCTTGTTCCAGCCTGAATTTAGGCCTTTAACAGCCATTTAGCAGAAGGGCTGAGCGTCAGCACCACGGACAGTGAACAGTTCATTCCAACCAATCCCAGAGCTGCTTCTGAAAGTCTGGCCTTTAACCAGCTGTTGGGGAGGGAGAATCTAAACCCGACTCCTAGCCCTTCAGCTCCTCTTCCCTTCTTTCTGTGAGTCTTCCCTCTGTCATTCGTCCGTCTGCTTCTACTCCAGTAGACCTCTCCTACCTATGTGGCAGGATAAGGTGGGTTTTGACATCAGATCCACCTGGGTTTGAGTCCTGCCTCTCCTACTTCCTTGACAGGTGAACTTGGCCGGGCACTGTCCTTGGTGCTGAATGTGGAAATCGATTTGAGTTCTCCCAACCATCCCGAGGGTTTGGTAGTACTGTACCCCTGCATCACAAATGAGAAAGTTGAGGGACAGAGAAGTTTATTGCTTAGTTTCGCTCAGCCTCCATTTCCTCATCTGTAAAGTGAAAGTCTTAATAGAGCTTATCTCAAGGTTTTATTGTTTAAGTTCTACAAGATAATATACATAAAGGGCTTATATGAGTATCATAGCATCTAGCACAAAGTAGTTATTTAACAAATGGAATCTATCATTATCACTGTCATTGAATAGTTATATGGATCAACAACGTTGTTAATCAATAACGTTATTGATTAATAATTGATTTCATTATTAATTCACAATTGCGCCCTTCACTGTGCATAGCAGTATCCTCAGCTGCAAAATGGGAATGACACAGAGGTGTGCTGGAGTTCGCCCATACCAGCTCACAAGAGCCACATACTGATTTTCAAGAGTTTTGTGGGCCTGTTGCTGTCATGTTGGTAGCTTGAAAATGGGCATGGTGGGCATGAAAATCAGGAAACACTACAAAACAGGGAGTTCCTCCCCACTCTTCCACCCTCTGAAGATGATGGTTAAACATTTACCAGCACACCACTGCCTCTGTATCATGGAGCTGGTGTGAGGTCTGAGGAAGAGAATGAACATGACTGCATTGTCAAATGCAAATTGCTGAACCTAGGGGGGATGAACTGAGGAGATCCCACAGCAACCACAAGCCTGGCACCCTTTTGTCTCCCAATTCTGGGGAGCTGCTGACTGGTGAAGAAGGTGGGAGGGGGTTGAGGACTGAGAAAGCCATTTCCGTGAGGCCTGGGAAACCAGTGGTGAATCACTGACCCTTCACCATCCCCACGTGTTGGTAATGGCTGCAATAAAGAATCCCAAATTGGGGAAATGATTCCATCATCCCCGAGGGAGTTCCTGAGATGCAGCCAGTGAGACTGCAGCCATGGCCCTGGGGAGTCGCCCAGCCCAGCATTGTGCCTGGCCCAGGGGGTGGGGGAAAACAGGCAGGAGGAAATGACAAGGAAACCCTCTCATAACAGTTACAACAGGCACTATTTATTGAGCACCACCGTGAGCCTGATGCTTTATGTATCTTCTCCCATTGCAATCTCTGGAGGGAGGCATGATTATGCCATTGTATACCGGCATGCTGTGCCTCCTGAGACAACCACCACCACAAGCTGCATTTATTGGATTCTAAGCATGGGCCGGACACTGTCCTCGGTGCTGAACATGAAAATCTGTTTGAATTCTCAAAATGACCTCAGGAGTTTGGTAATACTATCACTCTCATTTCACACATGAGGAGATTGAGGTACAAAGGGTACATGTACAAGGTCGAACCTTTAGTAAGTGTCAGCGCCATCACTGTGATCCAGTACACCAGGCCAAAGTCACTGCCGGTGCTGAGATTGGTACCCAGAAGGGCTTTGGTATCACAGAGTCCTGTGTTCGAATCCCACCACTTCCTCAATCTATGCCCTAAGTCAAATCTTTTCCCCTGTCTGACCTGTTTCCTTACCTGTAATATTAGAGGGACCCATTCTGCATCTGTGAGATGCTATGAAGATTAGAGATGATGGATTTAAGTTCCTGGTGAAGCTGTGTGTGTAGTTGGTGCTCGGTAGAAGTTCATTCCTTTCCTTCACCTCTGCATAGTCAGGAGGCACCTGGGGCTGTGTCCTTGGCCCTGAGTAGGAGACCTCTTGGCAACAGCATCAGGAGGAAGGGTGCTTGCCCACGCGTCTTCCCCAGCTTTTTTTGGCAACTCTGACATGATTGACAGGGAGCCACGAAAGAGAGGCGCATTGCAGGGCTGGTTTAGGAGTCTCTGGCTGGGAGGGGAGACCCGGAGAGGGAAATGAGAAATGCAAAAGAGTGAAAAATAAATACATGTGTCTGTCTGGAATGATGGAGGGCCCCAGGCTGGAGGCGGGAGAGGCGGGCAGCAGGCTGGGCTTAGCAGAACTGCTGCAGTAGCACTTCCAGTCTCTCTCATTAGCCAGGCGGTGAACTGGCCTCACCTCCCAGCATGCTGCCCTGCTGGCCCAGACAGCCCAATCCACTGGCTGGGCACCCAGCAGGGGGCATCTCCCTGAAGTGGGGTCTCACTCTCCACCCCTTTGGGTCATATCCCGAGCGCCCAAAACTCCCTCTTGGGTCTTCCACCTCACCCCCTTCCTTCTGGAAAGGTTCAGATGGACCAAACCTCTTTGCTGGCCCCTCCATCAGACCCCTCCCCACCCTACCCCCTACTCCCACCCGGTCCAACCTCACATCCCGGCTTTCGTCAAATTGAACATGATGTCAAATTAGAGCCATCTCTGGGACAGGCCGAAAGAAGCTCCTAGTTTAATGAGGCAGCGTCGAAAATCAATAACTTAATTGCCGCTGTTTGATGGACTTTTATCCAATTTATACTCTCCCCAGCAGCCTACGTGCGGAGCATCAGGAGCAGTGTGTGTATGGGGAGGGGGGCTGTCTGGGCACCCAGGGAAGGGGCGAGGAGGACACCAGGGCCCACAGCCAACTACTTTCCAAAAGCAAAGCTGGGCACTGCCACTCTCCCGCCGAGTCCGAGAGACACTGGCCTCTGAGCACCAGTGAACTTGGTTGTCCCATTAGACTGTCCCCTACAGTGGGGAGGGAGGGATGGGGAGGGGGGAGGAGGCAGAAATCCCTTAAAGAATCAGGAGTGGCTAGAATGGGTAGAAAGACCCCTGGGTTGGGAGTCAGGTGTCTGGGAGTCAGAGTTCCAGTCCTGGCTGTAACTCTGAATGTGGTGACCTTAACTGGTGCTGTTGATTGTTGCCACCACCATTGAGAGACTGCTCTGAGCCGCTCTGTGCTGGGAGCTTAAAATTCATTCCCTCAACCTGATGAACCAAGGTCTAGGATTATCCCCATTTTGCTGAAAAGGATATTCAGAGAGGCTGCCTTTCCTTGCCAGAGTCCTACTGCTGAAAACCACCCAAGGGAGATGTGAATCCACACGTCTGACTCCACCGTCACCCTTGTGCCACTAGGAAGGCCCCGGGTCAGGAAGCAGGTTGAGACTCAGGGTGGGGATGGGGACTGTGACGGCGCTGGCTTTGGTGGCCTCCAGTGAATCTTCAGGGGGTCTTCTCTCGCAGCTTCCCTGGGTTGGGGGAGGTGGGAGGGACGAGGACAGCAGCCCCAGACGACCCCTGTCTTGCTTGGTCCCCCGGGCCCAGGCACGTCGGTGATGCAGGTGATGGCTTCGGATGCTGATGACCCCACATACGGCAGCAGCGCTCGGCTGGTGTACAGCGTCCTGGATGGCGAGCACCACTTCACGGTGGACCCCAAGACCGGTGAGGGGCGGGGCCGGCCGAAAGGGGCGGAGCTGGAAGGAGGGGGTGAAGCTCGAGGGGCGGGGCATAAGGGGCGGGGCTGGGGCGGAGCCAGCGGCTGGGCGGGGCGGGACCGGGCGCTAGCAGAGGACCACCCCCAGACTTCTGCCCTCTGCGTTCAGTCCCAACGGTGGCGCTGAGGGTAGCACCACCCTCAGAGGAGGGAGTCATCTTGGACTCTCCAGGAGACTCCAGGATCACAGGGAGGACCAGCCAAGAGGCAGGAAGAGGAAAGGACTGAGGAAGAGAAAAAGAATGGGGGGTTGGGGTCCTGCAAGACTGGCAGAAAAACAAAAAGGCAGGAGGCGGGAACTGAGCGGCCCCACTTGTCCTTAGAGCTAAACTGAGGCAGGGGTGTCTGCAGCCTTTACGGGGTCATAAGTGAGGTTGGGGGAGGGAAGATGGCTGGGAAGGACACATTTTCAGCAGTTTTGAAAGCTTTGTTCACATGGCAGTTAGGATCTGATGGAAAGACAGAGAGAGACACTTAGAGACCTTCACAGAATGATGGCTTCTCTTTTGCCTATTCACCGCCCCCCCCGCCACCAAAAAGTGGTGCAGCACCCCACCCACCGTTTCCCACCTCACTCACTCTGAGATTAGAACTTCGCTAGTCTCCGAGGAGCCTTGGGAGAGTGCCAGGGAGGACAGAATGAAGAGACTGAGGCTCAGAGAGGTGAAGTGACTCACTGGAGGTCACACAGCTGGAAGTGGCTGCCAATTCCAACGGGGTGCTCGCACTGCACCACAGATAGGAGGGGCAGGACAGTAGTGGAGACGGGAAATGAGACATCAGACCCCACAGAATGTTTTCAAATGCCATCATGGGTCTCACAGTCCTGTGGGGGAAGCGAGGACCAAGTCTGTTCATGAGAGATTAGGATGCAAGGGCTTCTTGGAGGCACGAGCTGTAATCTTCAAAGGATAAGGTGTTGGCCAGACTCAGATTTCAGAGAAGGGCATTCCAGGCAGAGGGCATGGCACACGCAAAAGCTTGGAGGAAGAGAACAGCCTGAGGCATGAGGGGAATTGTAAGCAACTCAGGCTTGGGAAATCAGGCATGTTGAGAGGTGATGTGGAGAGGCTGGCAGGGGCCTGACTGTGCTGGTGTAAGCCAGGCTAAGGAGCTTGGATTTTATTCTAAGGGAAATGGTGGGCTTTTGGGAGAGGGGAGGGATAGACGGATTTGGGTTTTGGGTTTTGGTTTGTGTGTTTTTGTTTTGTTTGCAGGGGAGGAGTGAGGATTTCAGTCTGGGAATTGTAAGCAACTCAGGCTTGGGAAATCAGGCATGTTGGGAGGTGATGTGGAGAGGCTGGCAGGGGCCTGACTGTGCTGGTGTAAGCCAGGCTAAGGAGCTTGGATTTTATTCTAAGGGAAATGGTGGGCTTTTGGGAGAGGGGAGGGATAGACGGATTTGGGTTTTGGGTTTTGGTTTGTGTGTTTTTGTTTTGTTTGCAGGGGAGGAGTGAGGATTTCAGTCTATGAGCACACATAATATCTTCATTATTTTTTTCTCCTTGCAAAAGTAATGCATTTTAGAAAGCATTCAAACATTAAAGAAATGTTAAAAAGAAAAGAAAAAGAAAATGCTTCCCAGTCCGTATCCCCAGTAATTGCAGCCCCAAAGGTAACCACTTGGTATATATATCCTCTGAGATCTTGGACTCATTCACCTGAAAAATATTGTCAATTTTTAATAGATAATACATTTCAAGGTTCAAAATTCAAAAAGTCCAAAGGCGTATTTAGTGGCAATTCTTCACCCTACCAACTCCCCCAGCCACCCAGTCTGTGTCCCCAAGACAACCAATGTAATTTTCTTGTGTATCTTTCCAGATTCTGTGCATGTACAAGAAAATAAGGTACATGTATTTGTTTTAATTTTTTTACACAAATGGTAGCTATAAACACACACTGTACACATTGCTTGCCTTCTTCGCTTAACAATACATCTTGAAGATTATTCCAACTCAGTGCATAAAGAGCTTCCTCATTCTTTTATTTAATGGCTGTTATACACTAAAATTTATTTCAGCAATCCCCTATTGATGGACACTTATGCTGTTTCCAATCTTTTGCTACAACGAACAGTGCTATAGTGAATAACCTCATACATGCATCATATTGTGCTCGTGTGAGTATATCTGCAGGATAATTTTCAGGAAGTGAAAAAGCTGGGTCAAAGAGTACATGCCTTTGGAATCTTGATAATCCTGAAACGTACCACACTACACTCCCGCAAGCCACACATAGGAATGCCTCTTTCCCTCCTCCTCACCAGCACTGCAGGTTCATTGATGACTTCTAAGCAGGGAAGTGACATGCTCAGGTTTTCATTTTAACCAGATCTCTCAGGCTGCTGCTGTAGATCTTGGCTCAGAGGCAGGAACTGGAGGCAGGGAGACCCCAGAGTCTGTGCCCACCATAGAGCCCCAAAGGACTAAAACCAAAAGCCTACGCCTTTTCTCAACACCTTTTCTCAACACCTGGACTCCTTACCCTGCCTGTCTAGCTAGAAGCCAGAGATGATGAAGGATTGAGGGTGAGGGTTAGCTGAGAAGCTGAGGAGAGAGAATAGGGGGTGGCAGTGAGATCCTGCAAAGGCAAACCTTGGGGTTATAGATGAATGCACAGGACTAGGTTGAGGGAGGAGTCTGGAGTTCTTCTCAACCTAATCCCATATACTCACCTAGGCAAGGGGACACCGATAGAAACAGTAGGAGGATATAAATTAAGAAAATGATATAGAAGCAGAGGAATTAATGAATGTGCCCTGGGATCTGGTGCAGAGCTAAATAATTAAGCTTTAGCCATATTGGCTTTAAGAGGAGAGATGAGGGGGAAGAAACATCTAGAAGCTCTAGCAGGCTATCTGAAATATGGGCATGGAGTTCTGAGATTGGTTGGGGCTCTTTAAGCTTCAGTTTTCCGTGCACCAGCAGAATAATAATACCCACCTCACATTTGTGAAGATTCAATGAGAGAGTTCATTCATTTATTCAACAACTATTTATTGAGTACCTACTATGTGCCTGGCTCTGTTCCAGGCAGTAGGAATGCAGCACTGTGCAAATCTAAGGCTCTACCCTTAGGGAGCTTTTATTGAAGTAGGGAATACAAAAAATAAGACATATAAACATATAACATAAACATATAAATATATAACATAATGTCAAATAGCTAATAGTGCTAGAAGAAACTTAAAGGAAGGCAAGGGGATAGACTTAGCTTAAGAAATCAGGAGAGGCCTTTCCAGGGAGGTATGCTGAGGCAGAGACCGAGTGAAGTGTGAAGCGAGGGTGTGAGCCATGCAGATTTCTGGGGAAGAGCACTGCAGGCCGAGGGAACAGTGAGTGTGCAAGTGCTCAGCCCAGCACTCGCTGGGACAAGGGAATGGTGGTGGTGGTGATGATGCCTTTATCCAATTAGCCTGAGGAGGTGGGGACCTTAGCGTGGCTAAGCTTTCAGACGGGGAGGAAGAGAGAGAACATAGAAATAAGGGACGGGCCAGGACTATGTCTTGGGAGGCAGCAGGAGTGGCAGATGAAGTATCAGACTGCAAAAGAGTGAGGACGGCCACCAATTTCTACAAAAGAAGGGGGTCATGAGGAGGGTGGCAAGTGGAAGTCCACAGAGCCTGGGAGAACAGGAACGGTTCCCAAGAAGCCAGAAAGTGAGCACCAGGCAAGGCAGCTGACAGAGTTCAAATGGGGTTCTTGTTCTAGAGTCCCTCAACTTCTCAGTCTGAACGAGTCCTTTTTGACATTTCCCAGAAAGAACCAGATTTGTCCTCCCCTTGTCCATAGCTCCACTGCAAGAGCCGCCCTGGTGCCTTTCCCAGCCCCAACTCTATTTCCCCAGCCAGGAATATTCTGCTGCTGCGGGTCTATATTTAGCAGCTGCTGCGAGGTACAGTCTGTTCTGGCTGTGCAGATAGCAGGGAGCAGAGCCGGCACGGGCCTGAGAGGAAGGTGTGAGGGAAGGGAGGAGGCGGGGCGCCAGAGGAGGAATTAACTTGTGTGTTTTAAAGGCCAGGCCTGCCAGCAAGCCCCCCACAGGGGCGACAGAAATGGCATTTGCGGGCTAATGAGGCGTCACATGGGCTCTAGGGCCCTTTCTGCAGCATTTGGAGGAGACAGCAGGGGCAGTGAGGACAACAGCTGGAACTGGGGGCAATGGGGGAAGACAAGGCTGCAGGCAGCTGGGGCCAGGTTATACTTATCAGCCCCCACATGCCACCACCCCAGCAGGAACAAAAGGATTCTCTCAGAGACTTCACGATCTCTGCTGGAAATCCCAACTGGGCCAGAGAGGTCCACTTGATGGGGAAGGAATGAAACTAACATTTATTGATCACCTTTTAAGTGCCAGACCTCGGGGTCAGGATAATGAACTAGACCTGGTTTCTGCCCTCAAGGAGCTATTGTTCTAACAGAGAAGCCAGAAACAAATAGACAACTACACCCAGGCTGTGAGAGGGGTGGTGGAGGAGCAGCAGGAATCAGTCAAAATGTTATGTGAGCACCTACTGTGTGCCAGGCCCTACAGATACGATGATGAACAAGACCAGCATGGATCTCTGCCCTGTGGAACTTATTTGTGGGTGTACCCAACCCAGGACTTGAGGAAAAGGATCAGCAAGACATCTCCAAAATGTAAGCTCTGCTGCTGGAAGCTTCGTGTCATTTAATCCTCTCAACCGCCCTACTGGATGGGTATCCCCATTTTACAGAATAGGAAATGGAGGCTCAGAGAGACTCAAGAACTTGCCCAAGGTCAGGTAGCACAGAAATGGTAAAAAGAAGACTTGAACTCATATCTGTCTGACTCCAGAGTCCCTCCTTTTCACATTGCCTCACATCTGATTCTGTGCAGCCCTAGCACATAGTAGGCCCTCAGTAAGAGTCAAATGAATGAATGAGTGAATAAATGAATTTGCAGAGCCACGAGGTTTCAACAACAACTTCATGGGCTGATTTGGGATTTTTGTACCCCGGTCCCCTGGTCCTCCAGGAGTGCAACAGCCTCCACAATGCTTCTCCCTGCATCAGGAGGTAGCATGGGTAGTGGAACATGGTAGATAGGAAAATATGTGATAAATCCCTCCTACCCCTGTGCGCAGCCTCTTAGTAATGGGACTTTGCCACCGCTCGCATCAAGAGGTGGAGCCTATTTCCCTGTCCTTCAAATCTGGGCTGGCCTGTGACTTGCTTTTGCCAATAGGATGTGGCAGAAGTGATGTTATGCAAATTTTGAGATTAGGTCTTAAGAGACCTTGCAGTTTTCACTTTTGCTGTCCTGGAACATAGTCCTGAGACCGCCATGTAAGGAAGCCAGCCTACTGGAGGATGAGAGAACCAATGTGTCCCAGCCAACAGCCAGGATCCACCACCAGACGTGTGAATGAGGCCACCTTGGGACTTTCCAACCCAGCTGATCCTCCAGTTAAACACAGCTGCATGGTGGGCCCAGACAAAACCAGCAGAAGAACAGCCCAGCCAACCAGATTTCTCTATCAGTTATCTACGGCTATGTAACAAACCACCCAATGCTCAGTGGCTTAAAACAACAACAATTTATTAGCTGTCACAGGTTTGTGGGTTGGTTGGACAGATCTTTTGCTGGGGTCACTCATGTGGCAACAGTCAGCTGTCAGGTCACTGGGGTGACTCAGCTGGGACAGCTGGCATGACTGGGCCTCTCTCTGTGTGTGGCCTTTCATCCCAAGCTTCTTTCCAGCACGGTAGTCTCAGGATTCCAAAAGTACAGGCCCCAATGCACAAAGGCTTATCAAGCCTCTGCTTTAGTCATACTTCCTGATGTCTCATTGGCCCAGGCAACTCTCATGGCCAAGGCCAGAGTCAGTATGGGAGGGGATAACCCAAGGGTGTGGATACTGGGAGATATGATTCATTAGGAGCTATCACCATAGCAACATACGGCAGTGTGTGACCCCAGGAACAGGGTCCAGGGGCAGCATGGCCTCTGGGTACCCACCCCAGAGATGGCACCTGAAATCACACACTTTACAGGGCTTTATGACCCATTTCCAAGTGAGAAGAGTTTAAGGTCCTCAGTTCCTCTGGAGCTGGAAGTGGCAGGGACGGCATGGAGGCCACCCACATGGGACTTCTCTCTTCACCCACAGGAGCAGAGCCAGAGCCTTGCTCTAAGCCCTACCCAAAGATGGGGACACTGAGTTTTGGTGTCCAAGCCCATAGCTGCACAGTGGCTCCAAATCCTATCACCAAACCTCTACATTCAATGAGATCCTAAGTGTAAAGGGACATGCACAGAGCTTAGCGCACAGTAAGTGCTGGACTAAAGTCAGTTCCCTTCCCTGCCTTTCTGCCTGGGACCCCCTGCCCCCTCCTTCCCTCTGCTTGTCTTTCTCCAGGACTCCTTTTCCTCTGTCTCTCTCCTTCCCTCTCTGCCATCTTCACCCTCTTCCTCCCCTCTTTCTCCCTCTCTGCTTTTTCTCTCCTTCCAATTCCCCAGTGTAGAGAATACGACGGACTCCACCTTCCCAGTATGACCCTGCTGTCCAGGGCTGCAAAGACTTAGCTCACAGAACAGCTGAGGGCCAGCAGGGTGTTGCCTTCACAGCCCCAGCCTTTAGGTGCAGCAACTAGGAAACAGATCGGGGGTACTTGCCCCATGTTTGAAAAAATGGCTTACCTGATTAGGACTGAAGAGAGCAAGAAGGATATTCCAGGAGCTGAGATAGGACCACAGAAGTGACATCCTTGTGTCAGAGGTCTGGCCTCTCCCCTTGTACCTGGGGGTGGGGTGGAGCAGAGGATACTAGGTGGGCTGGGCAGGAAGTCTCTACCTGACAGTGATCTAGCAGAGCCGTTCAGAACATGGATTCTGGCACCAGAGTACGCATTTGAATCCTGGCTGTGCGCTTCCTACATGTGTGACCTTGGGCAAGGTACTTAGCCTCTCTCTGCCTTTGTCTCTTCATCTGTGCAATGGGTATAATCCTAACACCTTCCTCATACCAATGTTGAGAGGATTAAATAAGACAACTCACTTAAGAGGCTTAGAACAGTGCCAAGCACAGAGCAAATGCACATAAATGTTACTGATGGTTATTATCACATGCAATTCTCATGAGATGAAACCCTATACCACTGGTTCTCAGCGGTTCGTAACCTATTTTACTCCTAAGGCCATTTGACAGTGTCATTTTTGGAACTGAGGTGGGGAAGGGGGGGTTGCTGCTACTGGCATTATCTAGTGGGTTGAGGCTAAGGTTGCTACTAAATATCCTTCAGTGTACAGAACACACACACTACAAAGAGTTATCCGACTTAAAATGTCAATAGTGCCAAGTTTGAGAAATCCTATTTTTAGGTAGTTATTGTGGTTGTCCCCATTTTACAGATAAGGGAACCGAGGCTCAGAAAGTTAAAAGGATTTGCTCAAAATTGCATGGCCAAAAAAATTGGCAGATCTGGAATATATCTCAAAGCCATCTGCCTCCAATACTCCCCTGTCCCTGGGAAGACCAGTCACAGCAGAGGAGGGGTCAGGAGGGGGCCTATTGATGAGTTGCAAAGGCCACTGACTGAAGGTCTGTATGACCCTTGATTCAACAGAATACCCATTCCATATCTACATGTGGTCCCACAAAAGTAGGACCACCCCCTAGGTGCCCCACCCCTGGCTACTCCAGCTACACACACAAATGCGCACACACACACACACACTACAGCCTCTCCTCGCCAGCTACATGAACAAATACACACACAGACACACACATACATGCACACACTACAGTCTCTCCTTGCCTTGGCCATGTGAGGAGTGTCTGGGGGCTGTTTGGGGACATCAGGAGTTGGAGCTCAGGTTTTATGGGGCGCATCGTGGGGCTGCTGATGCATGACTCCACCTGGTACACAGGCCCTGGGCGCCACCTGTCACCACCTGGTGCTTGGCAGGTTGGAGTGGGTGGCAAGGAGGTTCTGAATGCATCGACTTCCCCTCCCGCCCCTAGTCTCTTTTGCTGGCAGGGAGACAAGAAGCCCAGGCTTCCCCTCGGCAGAAGTAATCTTGCAGTCGCCCCCATTCCATCTCCCCTCCCCCATTTCCATTAACAGGTTAGAGGATTGTCTGTTCAGCAATTAGCTGGTGCCTGGACAGAGAATCTACGGCGGAGTTGGGGGAGAGGGGGAGAGGGGGAGAGGGGTGGGATCCCCGGGGGCAATGATTTGGTTGTGGTTGGCTCTAAGCTGAGTGTTACTGACAGAGACAAGTCAGGCACAGGCCTGACTCATGCATAGAATACCAGGTGGGGAAAATGAGGTCCCAAGAGTGGGATTAGTTGCCCAGGGGGGTCACACAATGGCAAGTTCTAGTCCATAGACTTCTTTTCAGTAAACAAAATAGTCCTTCTGTTGCTTTTGGGTTGTGTCTGTGTGTTAGAAGGCATGTGTGTGTGTGAGAGTGTGTGCATGAGAGTGCACGTGTGTGTGTTGGACTGGGTGGCTGACAGTATACCTGTGTGTGAATGTGTGAGTGTGGGGGGGAGAACATGTATTTGAGAGAGTATGTGTATGTGATAGCTGTGTGTGTGGATGTGGATGTGTGCAAGTGTATTGTGTGTGAGTGTGTGTGTGGGTGTGTGGACTATTGCGTGCAACTGTGTGTATTTCAGAGTGTCTCTATGTGTTTGTAAGTATGTTTGCGTGTATATAAGTATGTGAGTTATTGGTGTGAATGTGGGATTGTGTCTGTACATGTGTGAGTGTATCGGTATGAGCATGCGCGTGAGTGTGTGAGAGAGTATATCTGTATGAGTGTGTTTGTGTATGTGTGTGTGTGTGTTATCTGTATGAGCGTGTGTGCATGGGTCTGTAGGAGCATGTATGTGAGTGAGTGTGAGTTTGTGTGGTGGCCACTGAGCCCCGCATGGGCACTGTGACACATCAGCATCTTCTGTGTCACCCACTGTCCTCCTGAATTTGAACTAACCCAGAGCTCACCAGGTCTGAGTCTGCCCAGCCTGTGCAGGGGTCTCCATATCAGCTGGCAGCTGGTGGGGGGCATGCCTAGGCTCACCCTCGCTCATCTACAGGTGTGATCCGGACAGCTGTGCCTGACCTTGACCGCGAGAGCCAGGAGCGCTATGAGGTGGTGATCCAGGCCATGGATATGGCGGGTCAGCTGGGCGGCCTCTCGGGCTCCACTACTGTCACCATCGTGGTCACCGATGTCAATGACAACCCGCCCCGTTTCCCACAGAGTGAGTGAGGCTCCCTGGAGGATGGCCGCATCTGTGTGTCCGTCTGTTAGCCCAACCAGGCCACCCATGGACCCCAGCTTCCCTTTAGACTTCCCACCAAAAGAGGGCTTCTCACTTGTCTGTCTGTCTGTCCACTACATCACCCACTAACCGCCAGCCCCCTCCAATCATACTTCCTGCAGAGGAAGGCCCTGGTGATGTCTGATATTCCATACATCTAAGAAACACCTTCATGCCCCTCACCTTGCTTCCTGCAGAGGGGGAGCCCCACCTGTCCACTTTCTGTCCATCCACCCCGCCCCTCACTGGCCCTTGCACACACCCCTAGCCTGCTTGTGGCACAGCCATGTGCCTCTGACCCACGTTTGCAAAGTGGAGCGGCGGCATATGGATACAGACTGAGGCAGCAGCCACCACACCCAAGCAGCGGGATGCCCATAGGTGTGCATGGAGAAACTGAGTCTCAGTGACAGGTGTTTCCCTCCTCCTCTGAGCTGGAGATGAGGAGTCTGTGCTTCTAAATTAGGTCTTTCCACCCTCTGCCTCTCCTGGCACACTGGGGTTTGGGGGATTCTCTGGCCCAGGCCCCTACCTCCCTATCAGCCCAGCCAGCCCCGCTAGGACTCAGGCTCAGGACAAGAGCTGCGCCGGTGAAGCCACCAAAGCTGGCAGAGACTAAATGCCACGGGGAGCTGGGCTGATTCCTATCAGGAGAGTCATTACTTAAGGTCTGCTGCTCTCACATTAGGCCCGGCCACAGGGGACTGACCCCGCAAGATAAGGGAATCCAATCCCTTAGCTGAGAGCACAGCATCCTCAGGGCCTAGCACCTCAGCCCAGATACAGAGTGGGGTGGGCAGAGCCCGCCCACCAGCTCCACGTCCCAGGTTCACCCAGCCCAGCCCAGCCCCATCCACTGATGGAGAAGCTTCGAAGCCCAGGTGTGGGGCAGGGGGGAGCCCACCCAGTCTTCTGCCCAACTGTGCCAGGATCTGTATCAGCTCTGAGCTGGAAGGGCAGGGCAGACAGAGAGGAGAAGGTCAGGGCCCCAGGAAGACATCCTTTCCTTCTCTTTTCTTTCTTTCCTTCCTTCCTTTCTTCCTTGCTTTGTCATGAAGTATAGCACACAAAAAGCAGGGTATAAAATAGAAATGTCCAGTTCAACAAATAATTATAAAGCAAATACTCCTATGCCCACCAACCAGGACCCCAGAAGCCCCAAGATGCCCTTTCCTGATCATAACATCTCTCCCCACCCCTTCCCCCAGAGTTAACCACCACCCGCTTTGGGGATCTTCTTTGCTTTTCTTTAGTGTCTATTCACCTATGTATGCATCTCCAGACATTATAGTCTAATCTCACCCATTTTTGAACCTTTTATAAATGGGTTATATGATACATATTGTTTTGTTTCTTGTTTTTTTGTCTCTCAAATTTGTTTATAAACTCATGTTGTTACTTGCAGCTATCATCCATTTTTGTTGCTGTATAGTATTCCATATTATTCTATAATTTATCTATTCTGCTGTTGATGGACGTTTGGATTGTTTCCAGTTTGGAGCTATTATGAAGGACACAGATTTGAACATTGTTGCTCATGTCGGCCCTAGGAGGGCCGATTTACACACATTTCTCTAGTGTATTTACAGAGGAACAAAATTGCTGGGTCATGAGATATACCCACCTTCAACTTTACTAAACAAAGCCAAGCTCTTTGCCCCATGAAGAAATACACTTGTTCTTTGTACCACATTGTCATCAGCACATGGTGTCGTCAGAGTCTAATCTGTGTTAATCTGGCGAGTATATACAGGTAATCATGCCGGTTTCCATTTATACACTCACTAGTCCCTCACACATGTCATTAATGTGACAGCCTGGTGTGTTCTGCCAGGCTCTGAGAATGGCTGGTGAATAAGAGATGCAGTCCCTGTCTTCCAGGGTTCATACCCGGGAGAAGGAATAAACAGTAAATGAGAGGAAGCTGCAGTAATCCCTACAATGGGAGAAGCTCAGGGGCTGTGGGAGCACAGGAGCAGAGCCTGGAGGTCCGGGAAGGTTCCCTGGAGGAGGTAACAGTCAGTGAGACTAGAAGGAAGAGTGGGAGTTGGGTGGTGAAGGCAGAGAGAAGAACAGGGAGAGGGAATACCTCAGAGCCTGGAGGTCCGGGAAGGTTCCCTGGAGGAGGTAACAGTCAGTGAGAATAGAAGGAAGAGTGGGAGTTGGGTGGTGAAGGCAGAGAGAAGAACAGGGAGAGGGAATACCTGGAGGTGAGAGCGAGCGAGGCATATTTAAGGAATCAAGAGCTTCAGCCAGGCTGAAGCTAGAGCTGGGGTGCGGGAGTGGAGGACAAGGCTGGAGAGTCAGCAGGAGCCGGGCAGCAAGTGCTTCGTAGAGCAGGACAAGAGGCTTGCACAACTCCATGCCAAGGGCAGTGGGGAGCTATGAAAAGGATTAAAGCATGGGAGTGGCGTGTTCAGTTTTAGAAGGAGACCCTCTGGCTGCTGTGTGAGAACAGAGGCAGCCACTCCATACAAGGGTGACCCAGACCTGTGGGGGCCCCAAGAGACACATCCCCATCCCCACACCCCCTGCTTTGCCTGGACTGGGCAGGATTTAGCAAGTCATCCTCACCTTGACCGGAGCAGAGAGCAAGGTGCTGTTTGCATCCCATCTGACCTCCTTCCTCCTGGCTTCCCCTCTGCTCCTCCCCTCCAGCCAAAATGGCCATCTTGCCATTCTTCAAAAATGCCAGGCATTGCACCCACCTCAGGGACTTTGCACCTGCTGCTCCCTCTGTCTAGAATGCTCTTTCCCAAATATCCACTTGGCTCACTCCGTCACCTCCCTAGCCTTTTGCAGAAATGCCATCTCGGTGAGGCCTATCTTGATCAACCTCTTTAAAACTGCACAACACCCTCAGAGCACTCTCCACACTTTCCCTGCCTTAGTTTTCTCCTAAGTACCTATCACCATTGGACACAATGTATGTGTTACTGATGTGATTGTTTAGTGTCTTTCTCCTTCCATTAAGAGAAAAGCACTGTGAGAGCTGAGGTTTTCATCTGTTTTATTTGTTGCTCTAACCTCAGTGCCTAAACTGCATGACATCTGGGACATCATAGGTGCTCAATATAGACTATATATTGAAATGAAGGAATAAGTGCCATTAACATCAACAGCAAAATCAGTATGAAGCCCCATCACTTTAATACTATTTGTTCCATTTATTGAGTAGCTACCATGTACTAGGCACTGTACGGGGCATTTTTCATGCACCATCATCTGAGTTAATTGTCATAACAACACTGCTGTTCCCATTCTACAGATGAGGAAACCGAGGCTCAGGGTTACACAGCTGGGACTGACTCCAGAGCCTTAGCCTTTATCACTGTGCTCCTCTGCCCCCTTCACTGGGCTGGTGGGGAAACTGAGGCTCAAAGAACTGCGGGCACTTTCCCAAATGAATCAGTGAATGAACCCAAGGGTCAGAATTAGGACCCACCTCTTTGCACTGCCTCCCACATTTCTGCAGAGGACACGCTTCTCCCACCCTCCATCCTGGCCAACCTGGGAGCCCCTTGCAGACACTGCCCTCCTTAGAGGTTCATCTGGGCCCTCTTCTCCCCTCCCCCAAAGCTGCAGTAGGGACTGCCCCCATCCATCCTCATGGCTGTGTCCTCCACAGAGATGTACCAGTTCAGTATCCGGGAGTCAGCCCCCATTGGCACAGCTGTGGGACGTGTGAAGGCTGAAGACTCCGATGTGGGTGAGAACACGGACATGACTTACCACCTTAAGGAGGAGAGTGGCAGTGGTGGTGATGCGTTCAAGGTCACTACGGACAGCGACACTCAGGAGGCCATCATTGTAGTGCAGAAGGTATGGCTGCCTCAGGAGGGATGGGGGATTGCCCAGGGGGGCGGGATCAGGGAGTACTCTGAGCGGTCCATACCCCACTTCACTCCACTCCAGGGAATAGATCTCTCTAGAGACCTAAGGCCAACCTAGGAAAACAATGATGATATCATTCCCATTTTACGAATGAGAAAAATGAGGCACAGAGAGGTTAAGTAACTTGTTCAAGGTTGCACAGCTAGTTGTTACAGCCAGATCTAATCCAGATTTGAATCCATGGTCTTAAACACTGTGTAATATGCTACTTCAAGTCCATGCTAAGCTCTTCACATTCATCATTTCCTTTAATCCTCATGTTTCCCTCTGAAGGAGATGTCATTATTCCCTATTTTCACAAGTGAAAAACAGAGGTTCAGAGAGGTAAAGGGGTTCACCCAAGATTATACCCATGAGGGACAGACTTGGGATTTGGGTCTGGTAACTCCAAAACTCTTTCCTTCCTGAGTCCAACATCCTTCCTCACCCCCTGACTGGCCCAGGAACCAGAAGCTAAAACTGCAAACTCAGCGATTCTTAGGAGAAGGGAACAGAAGATAAATAAAGAAACAAAAATCCATTTTCCAGGACTTGTTTATATGGGCTTGACAACTCAGGGCTGTGCAGGCCTTTCAGACTGTCCATTCTAACCCTGCTCATTCACGGAAGGTCCAAATCCCCTGCATTGGCCCAGTTGTCACAGGCCTTTGTTTGTATACCTCCAGGGACAGGAAGCTCACTCCCTGACACTGTCCAGCTCTTCTCCCATCGTTCTGCTAGAATGTGTCTCCTTAAATCTGCTCCTATCAGCCTGTGCGCTGCCTTCTAGGACCCACAGAAACATCTGCCCCTGACAGCCCTTCATTCACTCAGCAAACACACAATGACCACTCTTCATCCGGCATTGAGGGTTTGAGGATAGAGAAAACTCCCAGTTCCTCCAGCTGCTTCCTGGAGGAAAATAATATAGTAGTGCACACTTATAATAAAGTGCTCACCACGTGCCAGGTGCCCTTCAATTGCTTTCCACGTATTAACTCATTCAATCCTTACATCAACCCTCTGAGGTACTGCTATTGTCCATTTTATAGATGAGAAACTGAGGCCCTGAGAAGTTCAGGAAATTTCCCAAGGTCATGCATAGCATAGCCCAGTAGGAATGAGAGAAACAGGCCGGGAGCCAAAGAGCCAAGGAAACAGATGTGAGGACAGTCACAGAGAGAGAGGCGACAGGAGTCAGGACAAGGAGGGAGAACCAGGTGCAGCAAGGAGAACTGGACTCGGCCTCCCAGCCCCCCTCCTCCCTCTGGGCTCTGCTCCCAGCCAGTTTACCCAGCTGCCCACGACCCCCCGAAGTCTCCTTCTGGCCCCACCTCTCCCTCTTCATCTCCCCTCGGCCTCCATTAGACATCTCAGACTTGCCGTGTTCCGAATTCAGCTCCCGGTCTTTCCATCAAGAGAAAAAGACAAAACACCAGTTTTTCTAGAATCATCCTATCCCTGGAAAGACAACTCCACTCTTCCAGTTTTTCAGGTCATAAGTGTTGGAGACATCCTCGACCCCTCTCTTTCTCTCACACCCGCCCCCAACCCATCAGCAAATCCTGTTGCCTCCACCTTAACAATATATCCGGAATCTGACCAAGTCTCACCACCTCCCCCACTCCCACCCTGGTCTGGGCCATTCTCTCTTGCCCAGATTATTGCAGCTGCCTCCTCGCTGGTCTCCTTGCTTCTGTCTCCCCACTCTTTAATCTAGAGTCCATACAGGAGCCAGCCTGCTCAAATGAAAGCCAGAGTCTAGCTCACTTCTCCTCAAAACCCTCCAAAGGTACCGATTGTGCTCAGAATAAATGACCAAGCCCTGACAATGACCCAGACTCTCTGTGACCCAGGCTCCCTGTGACCTCTCAGACCTCATCTCCCACTATTCTCTTTTTCCCGGTTCACTTTGCTCCAGCCACACTGGCCTCCTTACAGATCCACAAATACACCAAGCTCACCTCTGCCTCAGGGCCTGTGCTACTGCTGACCCCTTGGCCTAGAATGTTCTTGCCTTAACATCCCCCTTGGTTCGTACTCTCACTTCCTCCAGGTCTCTGCTCAGAAGTCACCCACTAAGCAAGGCCTTCCCTGACCACTCTTTCTACAATTTCAGCCCTACCCAACCCCCAGGCCCGACCCTTCATACCCCCTTTCCCCATTCTACTTTCTCCTCACTAGCCTTGCTCACCATCTCACATGCAGCCTCTTTTTCTCATTACTTTGTCTGTCTCTCCCACTTACAGGTAAGCTCCATGAGGGTAGGGATTTTCATCTATTTGTTCACCACTGCGTCCTCAGAGCCTAGCCCAGGGCTCAGCACTCGGTGACACTCACTGAGTGAGTGAGTGAAATGTAAAAATAGAGAAAAACTGAGAAAAGAGACAGGAAAATAGACTCATGGGGATGGATGTAGAGAGACCAACAATGAGAAGAAGAGATTGGAGAGAGAGAAGAGCCAGTGGAAAGAGGGCAAGGGACCCGCCTGGCAATGTAGACACAGAGAGAGGAGAAAGGCAGAAAGGGAACGAAATAGAAACCGACGTGGGCGAGACAGAGGCAGAGCAGGGATGGAGGTAGTGCTGTCCCTGGAAGGGGTTGGAAGCTGCAGGCGTTGAGGAGTCCCTGACTGTGGCCTAGGTTGGACGAAGGTCAGATAGGAGAGGAGGGAAGATAAGTTGTAGCAGAAGCTAATTCAAAGGAGGAGGTCAGGGGTCAGGGGAATGGCCAGTTAGACAGATGGGAAAGAGGCTGTGGGGCTCCCTGTCCCCTCCCTAAAACCCCCGTCCATGTAATCTTTGAGCTGACTATGTGCCCCACTCTGTGCCGAGCATGGAGGAGAGAGGAAGGGGAAGTTAATCTGAGGACTTCTTGTATAATTCCAGAGGTCAACATCCCAGTCATTGTCTGAATGGTTCTCTTGGGGTTGTACAGTGCATAGCCTGTGCAACCTTACATGGCAGCCCTAGGTGAGGAGACACAAAATTGCCATCCTGTTTAACTGCCCATGGGCTCTCAGACTGGGAGATAGCTCTAGGAGTCTGGGAAGACTTCCTGGAGGAGTCAGAAACTGAACTGTGCTGGGCATCTGGTCTAGTCAGGTGTAAATATGAGGAGAAGGGCATTCCAGGTGCAGGAACAGGTTATGTGGGTGTATGGAGGCAGAGGAGTGGCAGGTGTGTCTAGAGAAGAGCGGACTGTGATAGCCACAGTAGAGTGGAGGAGATGAGGCACAAAGTGAAATCTAATGAGGCTTCAAGGGCAGGCCGAGGAGCTCAGACTCTAGCCAGAAGTCCAGAATGCCTGTGCTACTTCCACCAATCTCACTGCCAAAACCATCCTGCCACTCTGAACTCCACCTCCCTTCCACCAGGGCTGTTGGCACAGTCTTGGTCTCTGGCCTGGCCCTAGACCTCTCTAGGGAGGACACTGTCGCCCCTATTTGTCAGGAAAAGGAGGCCCAGTAAGGGGAGGAGGCTTCTGCAGGCTCTCCCGGAGAGTTAAGAATCAGGCATGGGAGGCGAGTCCTTGGTCCCCAGGTCAGTGCTCCTGTCTGCTGGCTCTCTGCCTCTCCAATATCACTCTCCACACCCCCTCTCAGTCTTCTCCCTCTTCCCTCCTTTGGCTTCCCTTCCCTCCTCTTTTATCTGCACTGAAAGGGCCAGCTTTGAAACCTGCTTCCACCTTCTTTCATCTCTCTTTGCCAGCCCCTTCCCTCGGGCTCCTTAGATGTGGAGGCGGGTAAGGAGCTTGAGATGGGTCCAATTTAACACCACAAACATTTACCCAACTCCTCCTCTGTGCCCGGCCCTGAGCCAGGCCTGGGGACACGCAGATGACTCAGCCAAGGACAGAGCTGAGGTGGAGCTCCCAGGTGGTGGGGTACAAACAAGGAAACAGGAGGCCAGTAAGGGGCCATGGGAGACAGAGAAGGGGTCCTCACAGGCCACATGTGCTGCCTGAGCCTGCCTTGTTTCCCAGCTCCACACTGTAAGGGTCACTGACTCTGTCCCCAACTATTCCATGCAATGGGGAAATGGAGGTAATAAGACAAGATCCCCGCCCTCATGGAGTTTGCCTAATGCTGGGGGGAGACAGCCAGCAAATGGTTAAACATTTGTTGACACAAGTCAATGGTTAAATGAGATAACTGCTGATAAGAGCTATAAAGAAAATACAGAGTGATAGGATAGAGCAACTGAGTGGTCAGGAATGCCACTTTTGGATTGAGTGGTCAGAGAGGTGACAAATGAGCTAAGATCAAAATGACAGAGAGCCGACCATGCAAAGATGTGGGGAAGAGCATTCCAGGCAGAGGGAACAGCAAATGTGACAGTCCTGAGGCAGGAATGAGCTTGATGTGTTCCTGAACATGAGGAAACGAAGCAGTGTCCTGGGGGACTTTGCCTAGCACGGTTTGCGGAGCACAGCAGGCTCCTGGGAATACAGAAAGGCAGACTGTACAGGGTGGTCTTTCTGAGCCTCTGCACTGGGGAGAATGGAAGGTGCTTCATGTTGTCATATTTACTCCCCAGGAGGTATTATACTCACTCCTCAGATGAAGAAACTGAGGGTCAGAGAGGGGAAGTCATTTGCCCAAGGTCACCCAGCTCCTGGGATTTAACCCATGACCAACTGCTTCCTGAATCCCACCTTCTGCCATTTCACCCCTGCTTCTTCCTCTCTCTGTGGTTAGTGCAGTTCCTAAACTTGTGCTGTGCCCTCCCCTGTGCACGGGCCACAGAGACGAGTCAGACATGGGCCAGTGGAAAGGCTGGCGCCGTGTGAATGAATCCAGTGGCAGATCCAGGTCCGAGTGAGCTTGGGCTGAGGCAGGGGCTTGAGGAGCTCCAAGGAGGGGCAAGTACTCGCTGCACCAGGGAGGAAATGAGCACAGGTTTCCCCCAGGGGGACCCTGAGGGAGGATGAGGAGGATGAGACTTGGAATGGGGAGAGGTTGGAGTGATGATGAGGGGCAGGTGACAGGAACAGAATCAAGAAGACAGGAGGTTAAATTCAGGAGCAGGGAGATCAGCTAGACAAGCTTATGTCAGGCATGGTGGAGGAGAAGGACAGAGGGAGCACTTGGGGACAGGCTGTGAAGGACCGTGAATGTCAGGTGAAGAAGTGGGACTTTATCCTACAGGCAGTGGGAAGCCTTTGCAGGCTTTAGAGGGAGGGAGGAGAGTTCTCAGATGGGTCCATCTCTGGATTAGGCAGCTTTGCAGACAGACTGAACATTTATCAGCTTAGTCGGATTCCTGCCGGCGCTAGCCCCATTGTGAGTCTCCTTTGAACATCAAAAACAGGAAGGCCACACTGGATCAGAGAAAGTGGATGCTTCATTTCCACCCACCACTCCACAGTGAGCTGCAGCAGAAAGTGCATGGGCTTTGGAATCAGAGAAGACGTGGGTTCAAATCCCAGCTCAGTTGTAGAATTTTGAGCAAGTCACTTCACCCCCCTTTGAGCTTCAGTTTCCCCATCTCTCAAATGGGCATCATGACAGTACCTGCCTCATTCATAGGTATTAAATGTCTACTGACGTACTGAGTTTTGTGCTTGAGTTGAGTGCTTGGCACATAGTAGGCCCTCAGGAAAAGGACATTACCATTTTTCTTGGTGGTCTGAATACCTGATTTTCTGCTTCATTCTGCAACCAGTAATAACCATATAGAATTTTCCAGACATCGTGTATGTGCTTTTGAGTATGTGCCTTAAAGGTTGGTTGGGGAAAAGAGTCACAGATAGGGTGGAGTGAACAAGGAGGAATCCCTTGGGGGCTGGGGTCAGCCCACTTGGTATTTTAAGAGATTCCCCTCCAGTAGCTTGGGTGGGGGCTGCATCATGCAGCCTGCTGAATGTACCAGAGTACTTTAAAAATTCGTGGGCTCATATTATCTTTCAATTCTATTTTTCCACGAACTTTTTGAAGTCTCCTCATATATGTTCATGAGCCGGCAGGCAGGAACACCAGAAAGCCTGTACATGCATGATCCTCCAGCCTTTTGTGTTTATTATGCATGTTATACATCCACATATTTATGTAGAGAAAAACTACATGGGCATCCAAGCCAGGAAGCAGTACCTGCCCCGTTTCCCTGACACTAACCTTGACAACAGCAGCATTTTGTGCTGTTCCTAGCACATGGGGATGCCAGCAGGTGTACCTGGGTTGCTCCTTAGGAGGGCGCTCTTAGATGTGGGGCTCTGGACAGACATGGTTGAGAACTTGGCCCTATGACTAATGAGCCCTTTGTGAGCTGGCGGGGGTACCTGCTTCCCTGAGCTTCAGTTTCCTCATCTGTAAAATGAGTGTGACGAAAGCACCTGGGAAGATTGGAGGAGCTCATGCAGGTGAAGCCCTTATACAGGCCTGGCACAAAGTCTTGCTCAGCAGTGAAAATAAGAGCCAACCCATACATCACCGGGGAGGTGCCCAGCACTGGAATAAGTGCTTTATTGGCACTCACTTGTCTAAACCTCATGACCAGCCTGTGAGGTAGGTAATAGTGCCTTCATTTATAAGAGGAGGCAATTGAAGAACAGAGAGATTAAGTGACTTGCCCAAGGTCACACAGCTAGGTTTCTAACCTAGGCAGGTGGGCACTCCTACCACTATTCTCAGGCCTTCCGTGCACATGTGGGCACGCATACACGTACACACACACGCATACAGAATAGCTGACACGTACCCTGTATTCTCTCTCCGTCCTCTTCCACCCACACCTGCTCTGGTTCCCCTTGCTGCCCGTCAGGTCCTGGCTGACCGAATGAGAAGGAGGACTGCAAAATTTAAGCAGAACCTTCTAGACCTACAGCTGCTTTCTGTCCTTCTCAGATCACTGAGAATGCGCCTATGTCATACATGATGCCACCCCCTCCCAGGCATGCAGACAACACGCTGGTTTGGGGGTCTCCTGTGCACTAACTGCTAGACATTTCTGAATAATAATTAGAATAACAATAGTTCCCATTCATGGAGTAATTTTCCTGGAGCTCAGCTAGGCACCTTATATGCATTTCATCCTCCCAACAACTTGCAAGTTAGCATTATCATCTCTATTTTGCTGAAAATTAAGGCTCAAAGATGGAGGTGACTTGTCTGGGGGCAACGTGGACCAGGATCCAGACCCAGGGCTGAGCAGCTGCCTCTTAAGCCTTTGCTCTTTCAACTGCAACACACTGTCTCACACACACAGGCACACACACCATTCACACATTCACGTCCCACAAACACACACTTTCCACCCACAACACAAACCAGACACACACACATGCATGCACAACCTTCCCCCATCCTCATGTTGGCCAGGCCACAGTCCCTGCCACACAGAGCTCCTCCTACCCTCTCCTTCCCACTCACTCGCTGGCTCCCTGAGCTGGAACAAAAACACCTGGGCTTGGCCAGCCACATTGACTGGCAGTCCCAAGTCTTTAGTTGGTTAATCGTGGGTTCTCGCATAGCCCCACCACATGGCCTTGGGAACAGCTGCCTCCACTTAGATTCCAGCCCCTCCCGTCCCCTCTAGGAGCAAACAAAAGAGAAAAACTGGGTAGAGGAGGAGAGGAGAAAGGTCTGGGCAGAGAGGGCAGGAGAAGCAGCAAGATGGCAGCTGGCATCCTCCTGCAAGCATTGCCTCACTCCCAGCCCTGACCTGGGGGATCAGGAGGCCAGGCTGTGCCCTGCCCCTGCCCTCTCCTGGACTCTGCCCTCCACCCTCCTCCCTGGAGAATCAGGAGGAGGTCTGTAAGGTTCCTTCTAGCTGAATTAGCACTCAGAGTCTCATTCTACCTCCTTTGGACCAAACATCTGACAGGGCCAGAATGGGGGCAAAGGGGACCTGAGACTTCATGCACCAAAGTTTTGGATAGTTCAACAAGCAAGAAAGAACTCCAGGTATAGAGTCTCAAATTTGGGTACAAATTCCAATTCTGCGACAGAGTTGTGGTGCAACCTTGGGCAGGGTCATTGCTAGCTGATATGGCACATTTGTGTGAAGAAGGAAAAGGCCCCCCTTTGAGAAGATCTTCACAAGGATTGGCAAGCAGAACACTGCCTGAAATTCATCCCCACTTCCCCCCTTCAACCTGATACCTTTGTGCATGACAAACCTGAACAACAGTACTTGGCAGCCCTGAGCTTAGCAAGTTTTCTCTCTGGAACTCAGTGTCTTCATCCGCAAAATGGAGGAGGTTTACATCAGCCTCATAGAATGCCTGGCAGGGACCTTGTCTGCCTCGTTTGCCACTTTGTCCCCAGAGCCTAGCAAAGAGCAGCACAGAGCAGGCACTCAGTGAGTGTTTAGGGAATAAAGGAATGAATGGAGGGATGGCTGGGAGTAAAGTGATCTACAAACTCTTAAGTGCATGCTAGGGACAGGAATCCTAATCTTGGGGTTGAACCTCCCCACACACTTTCACCCAGGTCAGTGGAACCCAGGCTGGTCAGAGGCAAGGAGGATGTGGGCTTAGCAGCTTAGAGATGGGGGCTGGGGAGGTGGGTTCAGGAGACAGGCTGATAATGCCCACTATACCCATATGGACAGCCCTTTACAGTATGCCTCATGCCTTCACCTCTGCCACAATAGTAAATATGAAAAGAATAAGGGCTGTCACCTAAACCAGCTCCTCCTCTAACCCACACCACAGTGCGAGGTAGTATGAATCACGCCCTTTTCCAGATGAACAGAGGCCAAGGAGGTGGAGTGACTTGTCCAAGATCACACAGGTAGAATAAATGGCAGAGGATTCAAACGCAGCTCTGACTGCTCTCAGACCTGTGCAGTCCCACTGGGTGTCATAATCCCTATTCAATAGAAGGGGACGCTGAGGCCCAGAGAGATGTGGCAACACAGCCAAGGCCCCACTGAAGGGCCATCTCAGGGCTTGGGGCCCCCAGCAGGAAGTGTTCCTGCTGGCCTCAGTTTCCCATGCTGGGAGATGGGGAACGGGCCATGCTGGGAGATGGGGAACGGGCCCCTTACCTCCTACCTGTGGGAGGGGCGGGTGGCTTGGGCTGGGCCCCTCCCCGCCAGGCTGCATTGTCCGCGCTGCACAATGAGCCCTTGCTCGGCATTCGAGGCCTTTGTCCTCAGCGCAGCCCGGCCGCGCCCCCACCCGCGTTATCAGCGGCGGGAAGCGGCGGCCGGCGCTGGCGGGGCCTCTCTGGGCCGCCGCCGCCCGAGACATGTGTTGGACACGGGCCTTTCAGGCCTGGAGCCGCCGCACAAAGGCCCGGGAAGAAGGCGGAACAAAGGGCTTTTTCACGCGGCAACTGAAAAGCGACAGATTAGCTCGCTCGTGCTGCGCAGGCGGGGAGGAGCCGGCGGCTGTGCCCACAGACCCCCTCGGCACGGCGCCCGCTCAGCCCGCGTCCCCGGCCTGGACCCCCATCCCTGGCGGCCGGATAGCCCCCTAGGCCACAAAGGTCCTCCCACCCCAGCCCGGCTCAAAATCCCCCACTGGCTCCCAGTACACGTGAAATCCTGAAACTGCGCTGGCCTGTTCTGGTGCCTAACTCTCCCCACTCCCCAGTTCTAGCCACTTCACACCGTTTGCCATTCCCTGAAGAATTCCCGCCCGCCCTGCCTTTGCAGCGTCTGTTCCCCCTGCCCTGAATGCTATCCCCAGTTCCCTCCTCTGCCTTCAACCCAATTCCAGAGTCACCTCTTAGGGTCAGATTAGAATCCAGCATCCATGAATGATAACTAACTCTGCGCCTGGCACTTCGCCTGTTTCTAGCTCTCACAACAACTGGGCGCAAATTATTAGCTCCCCTGCCCAACGGAGGAAACAGGCTCAGAAAGGTGGAGGGTTGCCCGTGGTCACACAGCGGGCACCCGGGCAGCTGAGATGCAAACCCAGATGGCTTCCCATGCTCTCTCTCATCCCCCACCCCTTCTGTTGGAAAGGGTTTCTCTGCCCTTTGTGTGTCCGAGGCAGGTGGTCCTTCTCTTGGGGTGAGGCGGGGGGACATGGGTACGGGCTCCATCTGGCACCGGGGCACTTTCAATCAGCCCTGCCCTGCTCCCCTCAGATATGCCATTGACCGCGAATCGGATTTGGACCAGATCTTCGATATCGATGCGGACACAGGCGCCATCGTGACCGGCAAGGGGCTGGACCGTGAGACAGCCGGCTGGCACAACATCACGGTGCTGGCCATGGAGGCAGGTGAGCTGGGTGCCCCCAACCAGGGTATATATGGGGGGAGGAGCATACGTTGAAAGGCGGGGCCAATGGCTGGGGCGGGGTCAATGCTGAGCTGTCTGTCAGTCAAAGCCCATGGCGGAGAGGCCAAAGGCTGGGGGCGGGCAAAGAGTGAGAATCTGAGCAAAGAGTCCGCTGGGGGTGGAAGTGGAGGTAAAAGCTGATGGCCGAACAAAGATCCAGGAGGGGTCCCACGCCAAGAGAATAGGGCTGGCCTTGTGGCCGGCTTTCTTCCCTCATCGTTTATTGAGCACCTACTCCATGCCAAACCCTGGGGCTGAGGATACAGCCTTGAACGAAACAGAAAAGCTCCTGTCCTCAGTGGGGAGCGTTAGACCATCAACAAACTGCAAGAAAGGCTGTGCATAATGTGTCAGGTGATGTTACATGCTGAGAAGAAACAGGGAGAGAAGAAAGCAGTGAAAGAGGATCAGAAGGAAGAGGGACATTGTTTCGCTTAGGGGAAGGCTGCTCTAGGAATAACTCAACAAAGACCCAATAAAGTGAGGGAGTCATGCTGACATCTGGGGAGGAGCATTCTAGGCAGAGCGAATAGCCAGTGCAAAGGCCCCGAGGTAGTAGTTTCCCTAGCACTTTGGAGGAACAGTGAGGAGGCCAGTGTGGTTGGTGAGGGTGGTCAGCTGTTATAGGGTCTTTGGACTTTACTCCAAATGAAGCTGGAGTCACGTGGAGAGGTTTGAGCTGAGGAGGGATATTGTCTGGCAGGGTACCTCTGCTGCTGCATTGAGAATAGACTGGGGGCCGTAGGGAAGCCGGGGCTTAGCTAGAAGCTAAAGGCAATAGTGCCGGGGAGATAGGACAGTGGCTGGCCCTGGGCAGCGGCAGTGGAGGACGTGAGGAGTGAGCAGCTTTGGGAGACAGGCTGGAGATAGAGCCAGCGGACCTGCAGATGGCTGATGTGAGGGTGAGAGGTGGAGAAGGGTCAGGGTGACTCCAAGGTGCTTGGCCTGAGTTTCTGGAAGAATACGTGTGTGTGTGTGTGTGTGTGTGTGTGTGTGTGTGTGTGTGTGTATCGCAGGCAGTTTGGTGGAGTGTGAGCTGGGATAGAAAGAGAGGGGGCCCTGAGACATGGGGTTCAGATAAGTAAGGCCATGGAGGTGAGCAACTGAGAGCTTGGGGACCCACGAGCACCAGAAGAGTGGAGAAGGGAGTGCCCACCGGGCCTCCATAAACAGAGCAGCTGCCACCACCACTGCCTCAGCCTTGTCTCCAAGCTCCCCACCCTGCAGCTCTCAAGATCTCAGGAGTCACCAGAACCACCAGTAAGCAATCATGACAATGCGAATACTGTTGAGTCTGAGCCTGAGGACAGGTGGGCAGGCAGCATCAAACTCGCCTCTGCACATCCCATGCCCCTCCTGCCCTAGGCCCCTCCTGCCAGCCTTCCCCCTCCCCCCCTGCTGGCGTCTTCTCACTTCCCAGGCCCCACGGCCGAGGAAGTCCCTAGGCTGAAGTTCCCTTCCTCTCTTTCAACTGTGGTTTAAAAGAAAATACAAAGCTGGCTCAGACCTCAGTGCCTGCTGCTCCGGAGCCTTTGAATCCACTCCTCCTCCGGCATGAAAGAGAAATAACAAAGGTGGCTGGAGAGGAAGTGGTGGCTGGAGTGGGGGGAAGAGAGCTCCCCCTCCTTGCCTCCCCAAACCTGCTCCCTGGGCAGCACTGAGGCTCCGGGCTGCAGACAAGCCAAGGAGGACAGGCCTGGCTGCCAGGCAGAAATGCCTCTTCTCCTACCAACAAATACATCCCCCCACCAGCCTGTCACCCTGCCTAACTTCTCACCACTAGCAAGTCCCCTCTTGGGTTAGGCATTGTGAGTCTACCCAGTGGGTCTCTTTTAGAAAACAGATAGAATAGCATACAAAGTCTGTAATGCTGCCATTTCACAGGAGAAAGAATGTGGGAGCGGGGCACTCCACAAACATTTTACAATTTATACTTAATATGTGTTCTGGGCTAGATGCTTTCTAGCACATACTTCTACTGAATCATGATCAGTAGCATAATCGGCACCCATTTTGCTGACACGAAAATCGAGCTTCAGAGAGTTAGGAGACTTGCCCCAGGACCTGCAGTGGCAGAGCTGAGATTTGGACCGGGTCTGCTGGGTTCCCACCACAGCATTGCTGTGTAGCTGCCTTTTCCTGAAATGCTCTGCTCTCTGAGTCCCACCCACCAATCCCAGCTGCTGACCTTGGAGAAGGAGAGGAATCTGAAAAGAGAAGACTGACTACTGGGCTCGAGACCCCCTCTCTATGAGCTTCAATCCACAACCCCTCACCAGGGCTACTAATCAATGGGAAAATGAATGGTTCACTTCACAGTGCTGGTGGAAGGATGACACCTGGAAAGAACTTAGCCTGGTGGTTGAGTTGGTGGTTGAGTCAAGTTAGTGGTTAAGTTGAGACCGACAGATACCATTAATTAGGTGCTCAGTTAATGGTATGTGTTGGTCTTGACTCTGTACATGGACTTAACACCGACCCTATGCCAGGCCCTTTATACTAATGAGCTCACTGAATCTTCACACCTAAGAGGTGTCGATTGTACTGTCATCCCTGATGTGTGAATGAGAAAACTGAGACTCAGAAAGTGAAGTCCTTTGTACAAATTCTCACTCCCAGCCTGTCTGACTCCAGAGCCCAGCTGTTCCCCCAGGTCATATTTCCTTGGTGCTGGTACAAAATCCGGAGCTGTCACCAATAACCTACCCACTTCACCTTCTTGCCACTTGCATGAGATGAGGACAAAATTATCTCCATTTTACAGATGAGGAAATAGAGGCTCAGGGAGGAACAGCAATGGCCCCAAGATCACAGAGCAAGTCCATGCAGGGCAGGGCACGACCCAGACCTCCAGCCTCCCAGGAGCCAGCCCGAGCCCCAAGTGCAATACCAATGGGACTGCCCGCCTGGCCAGTGTCCTCCTGCCGAAGCATCCATTTGGCTTCCTCAGAAACAGAGAGGATGCTCAGAGGGTCACGGTGGCCTCGCCTGCTCCCAGGCATGACAAACACGAGGTGACAAGAATCAGAGGGGAAATATTTATACACAGCGGTGGCGCTTTGTGAGCACCTCGGAGAATGTTGCACTCAGCCGGGAGCCGCCGCCTGTCACACCGGATTACCTCAAAGGCTCCCGAGCCACTTAGTATGCCAGCTCCCCTCTCCCCGAACTTCTGAGTCATCCATTTTGCCCATGCAGATGCTCCTTCCACTGACATTATCTTTAACGTTTTGTAATCATGAAATATTAATGACCGATATTGAATTTAAAGCACAATTTGTGTCTGAATCCTTCGGTGGAAAGGGCAGTTGTAAAGGGACAGTCTTCAAAGAGATGGGGGGTGTCTTGGGAAGCCAACACTGGGGTAAGGGGTACCAGGAGCTGCATCCAGCCACTTCCTTCAGGGTCATCTGGAGGGGTAATATCTAGCTGTCCAGGGTGGCAAAGAGTTAACCAGATTCCCCATTGGGTCACCCCAGGCCAAGTCACATCTCAAAGCACCCAGCATATTTCTTCATACCGCAGAGCATGCTTATGATTTATAGATGTGAGTATTTAGTGAATATCCTTCTTCCCCAGGAGGTGCTGCATGTGCAGCATTCACACCAGCCATGCACATAGTAGGCGTGTGTAATTTACTGAATGGACGAGTAAATGGGCGTGCCTGCCCAGTTAGCAAAGCAGTGGAGAAGAACTGGCCAGAGCTGCATGGTTCCCAGCTGTGTGGGCTCGGACAGGCCACTCCCACTCTCATCGACTTGGTGTCTCATCTATAAGATGGTGACAGTAATACCTACCTTATTGGATGGCTGTAAGGATAATAACTATTACTGATAGCAGCTTCTATTTATTTAAAGCATGCAATATGCCAGATGTTGTGTTGAATGTTTTATATAAAGCATCTCATCATCCCCCAGGGATTACAAATCATGTTCATCGTGTGCCTAGCACAGTGCCTGACACACAGTAGGTGCTATTAATAGCCAGAGAAAGAATCTGCTGGGAGAGGGAATGTGAGAGATGATGGACCCCAGCCCCCGACCCCCCTCATTTCATAGGTGGGGAGACTGAGGTCAAGGAAGGAAGCAACTTGCCCATCCCTGAGGCTTTCTGACTCCCAGTGCAGTTCTCCTCAGGGACCGGAGAGGGGATCTGAGAGGACTGAGGAAAGAGTAGGGATTGGGAGTGAGGGGTCTCAGTGGGGTCTGTGTGGCAGAGAGTGCTCAGTTCTTCCAGGGATGCCTCCTGCCGTGTCTACACTTGCCAGTGTTTTCTGAGAGGCTCTCTTCACCCACCCCAGCCTGGGCTGGGTGCTGGGATCTGGTGATAAACAGGATTTGGGCACTGTCCTGAGAGCTCACAGGTGGGCAGGGGAGAGACATGTCACCAGTCAGTGACAACACAGAATGGAAGAAAGCCATGGGGATTCCCAAGGAGCAAGGAGAGACTTACCCAGCAAGTGAGGGCCAGGAAACCCTTCCCAGAGAAGAGGATATCTGAGTTTAGTCTCAAAGGCCAAGAAAGAGGACTCAGGTACTCAAAGCAAAAAGGCCCCTGTGTTCAAAGGCCTGGAGGCTTGGCTGTTCACTGCCCATTCTGAGAACAGAGAGACTGGGTGTGGCCGGAGCTGCTAAGGTGAGACAAGAGTGAAGAAGCTCGCTGGGCCTGGATGGGTAGGGCCTTGGATGTCCTGTAAGGAGCCAGATATCTCTTGGAAGTGACAGGGAGCCAGTGCAGGTCTTTGAGTAGAAGAGTGACATGATCAGATGTGCAGTCCCCAACGTTCCTTCGGGTTCAGGGGGAGGGTGGGTTGGAGGGGGCGAGCCCAGAGCAGGCAAAACAGATGGGAGGTTGTCAGGAACACTCGGGCTTAGCTGTGTGCTCTGGTGCCGGGGCAGGGCTGGGACAGTGCAAGGGAGCTCCAGGGAGGCTGCACATGGG